GCCCCATGCACTGACAGTCGCACACGTAGAGTCCCACACTCACGAGGACAGGGTCACAGACTCAAAACCACACCCCACACACTCCCACCCGAAATCACACACATTCCGCCACCCCCAAATCCCAGCTGAAGCTCACACAGTGGCTCACCACCCCACACAGCCCACACTCCGGCATGTGATCACACACACACACACACACACACACACACACACACACACACACACGAACACACTCTGGCTGTGCTTTTGTGTTTTGTCAGAATTAATGAGAAAAGTTCCCGTGCCCTGCGGGTAATTAGTGTCCTTGGAGTTAAATAAGCTAATGGCGTGCACCTCTGGCCCAAGCAATTATGTTTGTGTATTGAATAATTGATTCAAAGGGGGGAAGGGCGGCTAATCAGATCTGAGCATAATGAATTGATTTAATTAACAGGGGAATCTGAGGGGCCCTGGGAAACGCAGACTTCACTCGGCTGCGCGAGGGCTGCCAGCGCGCAGAGAAGGGCGCGCGGCGGCGGCGGCGGCGGCGGCGGCGGCGGCCCGGCTCGGGTAGCGGCTGCGGGATCGGCTCGGCGATCCCGGCCAGGCGGACGCGCCCCAGCCCCGCCCCGCCCCGCCCCCGGGTTGCGCCGGCCCGCGCGAGCTCCCTGTCAGCTGGGCTCAACTCCCGGCGCCCGCCCGTCCGCCCCCGTCCGCCCGCCCCCGTCCGCGGCAGCGCTAGCCGGGCGCGGAGCCCGCGCGGGGCCGACTGGAGCAGCGCAGGCGGGCGGCGGCGGAGTCCGAGCCGCCTGCCCCTCCGCGTCCTCGGCCCGGGGGGGGAACCATGGTGTTGGACCAGGAGGACGGTAGGTGCCCGGGGACCCGCGGGCCGCAGGGTGGGGGCGACGGCGCGGGCCCGGCCGAGGCCACCCCGCGCGGCGCAGCGCCCCAGGCTCCCGGCTGCCTCGGGCCGCTGGGCTGCTTCCTGGAAGCCGGGCGGTGGAGGTGCGCGCTGGTGTGTGTCGGGGTGCCGGGCTCAGCCCCCGAGGCTTCTCAGGGGGATTAGGAAGTCACACGGGCCACCCCGAGCCCGCCAGCCCCACTCGCTCGGGCCGGGAACTTTCTCACTGGCTCTTGTCGCCTCGCAGACACAGGAGCGCCTCTCCGATCCGTGCCGTGGGCTTCCCCGCAGTGCCCGCTGGCCCCAGTCTCCCCGCCTCCCACTTGGGTATCTGCACGCCCTCCCCCTTCTGCACCGACTGCAGAACGGCTCCCCCAGAGGGATGCCCAGAGAACCCGGCACTGTCCTGGGGTCCCTCCGGTCTGGAACTTCATAGCTGCGGGATGGGTGACATTGCTTCACCCCTGGCAGGGCTGGGGAGGATGCTCACCATCAGCTCCCCCAGTCCAGCGTGTTGGGAGGTGCTCCGCTGGCTAGGGCCCGTGGATGGGCCATATATCCAAGATATCAGGGCCGGATTCACTTTGAAGCTAATGAATTATAAGCTTCAGAGTCCTTCTGTTGTAATTTGTATTAGTGATCTACTGTTCCTTTCTTAACGCCCCCCCCCCCGCCCCAGTTGCATAAGGAAGCTTGGCTCTCGCAAAATCTGGACCACCCCTGGATCCAACTCACACCCTTCCCATTCTAACTGCCAGTCTCAGGAGGACTCACAGTGCTGCTGGCCCAAGGAGCATTGCCAGTTGCTAGGGCAGTTGTTTGGTGCCCAGGAGATGGAGCCCTGAGGCAGGAGGCTGGGAAATTTGGGGGTGGGAGGCAGCTGCTGGTCTGCAGGGAAGGGTCTGGCTGCCTGGCCCTTCTCTCCGGCCCCACTAGTCCCTTGTCCCACCCTACCACATCCCACTAGGGTGATTAACTGTCCTGGTTTGCCCAGGACCATCCCTGTTTTATCACTGACAGTCCTGGATCCTGGAAACCCCTCAGTCCCAGGGCAAACTAGGACATTTGGTTGACAGCCTATATCGACAACCTTCTCTGGGCTGTTGTGCAGGGGTGGATTGGACTTCATCAAGTGAGTGGGGAGACTTGTTTTCTGGAGTGCAGATTCTGCCTAGGCACCCACAAAGCCTAATAAGTTATAACTGCAGCTTCCTAGAAGGCCTGTCCAGGGCTTCCAGAAACCAAAAGAGGAAAAGTTTGCCAACAGTGTACTTCTCTACTCTAGCTGGCTGCAAATCTCTGTGCATGGGCTGCTTTTGTGTGAGTAGGGGGCAGGGCAGGGCATCTGAACTTGGCCAGCAGGTATCCTGATTGTTCTGCAAAGTCTGTAGATTCACCCTGTCCAGTCAACTGTGGCGGCCACAGGGAAATGGCCTTTGTCACTCCAAATACCCCTTTGAGTGTCACCTGTGAGGTCAGCTTGTAACCCCATCTTGGAGACAGCTGCACTGTGTTGGAAGCAGGGCCCTCAGGCTGAGGCACATCTGACAGGCTCTACTGAAGGGTTCTGGAATATCTGGTCTGCCTGGGCCCTCGGGCACCAAGTCTCCAACGTCCCCCCCAACCCCCAACCCCGATGCAGGAATCCTTCCTCAGGACTTTACTGCCAGGTACAAGACAAACTGCTAGGACCTGCCCAAAACTTTGTAAAGCAGCCAGGAGCACCCCCTCTTCCCTCACCGTAACCTAGGGGACTAATCAACTGGCCTCCCCCTGCCGTCCCCAGAGGCATTTCAAGGGCATTTTGGAGCACTCTTGGCAGTATGGAAGTGAGAGCATATGCTCATCACCTGTGGAATGTGTCAGGTGCAGACAACCTCCCCCAGCCCCAGGGGATCCGAGGACTGCACCCTGGTGTTGTGGGCGTGCCCCTGGACCTGGAGGCATAGGAGTGAGCATGGGCGCGGGAGTTACCTGCCTGCACAGCAATTACCCATAAGCTGAGAGGGAGGCCGCTGGATGAGCCAGGCTCGTGTCTGGGTTTGTAAACCCAGCAGGCCTCTTCCTGGCTGGGAGCTCAAGTCACCCAAACTGTCCAGGGCTTGCCGGGTAGCTCTGTGAAGGAGAAGGCCTCTGCAGAGGCACTTCTCCAGGTGAGTGTGGGAACTCAGCGCTCACCACTGGGGCTGCAGAGAGAGCTGCCTGTGGAGACAAGCAGCCAGCCCTTCACTCACAGCACCGATCCCCTGCTCAGTACCCCAAGGCTGCACCAGTCCCTGGAGTGGCATGCAAGGCCTCTGACTCCCTAGAGGGAGGCTGGCTGTGTGGCTCCTACCTGGGCACCCTGGGGGCTGGGGAGAGCTGGTGTTGGGACGGAGTCCTGAGCACAACACATGGATGAAAGAGTGAGCAAGTGGCCCCAGCTAATGGAGTCCAGGTTTGTGGGTCAGGACCAGACCCTGAAAGTCAGGAGAAGCAGCTCTGGAGGTCAGGAGTAGGGCTGCAGCCCTTGTGGAGTGAATACCTCCAGGTAGCACAGAGGTGTCTACAGCAAGAAGCTACCCCTTGCCAGCCTGTCAGGCCCTGTGCTTGCTACACTGTCTGGCCCCCTCACTCAGGCTGGGGTGAGGGGCTGCCACTAAGTGTGCCGGCGGCAGCAGTGCCAAAACCTCCCTCAGACCCTCAGGGTACAGTTCAGCTGCAGTGACAGGGGAGAGATCAAGCTCGCAGTCCTGAGGGATGGTGAGTCTGAGCAAAATGATATATTTAACATCAAATATACTCAAGGACTATTAGGATTAAGTATTCAAGATGAAGGGGAAAGCGAAACTCTCTGAGCTGCGGAGGAAGCAGCTCATTAGAAGCAGCCTCTCTTCTGTTTTCTCAAAGCTTGACTCTCCTGCCTACGATAGAGGACCATAGACTGCAGCCCCACTCCCCCCTCCCCCTCCCCCTCCCCAATCAAGCACCCTGCACTGGGCCCTCCCAGGGCTTAAGGGGCATGACCTGGCCTCCAAGTCTCCTTTGTACCCACTACGTCCCCTTCCATTGTCTGGGGTGCCACAGTTCACAAAGCACATTCACATGCATTATCTCCTCTGATCCCCACAGCAACCTTGGAGATAGCAGAGCAGGTCTCCCACTTCACAAACAGGGAAATTGAGGCCTGGGGAGAGAAAATGACTTGCTAAGGTCCACTGTTGGTAATAGGCAGAGATGGGATGAAGTCTCAACTGGTGGCCCTTTGCCCCTCCAGGGACTCCAGCTTCCTTCTCCTTGCCTGGGTCTAGTCCTCAGAAGTGACTGCGGGGATGAGCCTCTGACACATCTGTCTGGAGAAAATCCATTAAGATTTTCATGCCATCCTGGAACTCTGTAGTGTCAAGGAAATAATGCTCTTGATATTGAAGAGTGGCCTTCCTGGAGTAGGCAGCCTGGGCACCAGACCCAGGGCTCTGGGAGAGAAGCAGGGTTCAGAGGGAGAGGAGATGAACACTGTCTCCCTTCCTGCCTCCTGAGTTAGAGAGCAAGAATTGTCAACTCTGCAATAGCAGGAATTTTTGTTTTCACTGATATATCCCCAGGGCCTTAAAATACTGCTTGGTGCATAGTATATGCTCAATAAATAGTTGTGGAATGAAAAAAAAAACCTTTAAGGCCATGCTGTGCTTGCTCAGAGAGAATTTGAGACAGGATCCCATTCTCTGTGGAATCAGGATGCTCTTGGGAGGGACTTCTGGGGTAAAGGTGGTGCTGTAAGACACACAGTGGGAAAATTTGTGCCCTGCAGAGGGTTAATTTTGTCAAACAATCCAGGAAGCAACCAGAAACCTCGGGAAGAGGAAGTAGGAAGGGAGGGCACGAGGTCAGAGAAAGATTGCCCCGTGGGAGGGGGGCAAAATCAAGGCTGAGGGGCTGGGAGTGACAGACAGGTGTGGTCCACCAGGCAGTTACTGGGAATGAGGACCCTGGGTCCTGAGCAGAGCCACACGCCGAGTTGGGGCCGACAGGCCTCCAGGCGGCGCTGCGGAGCCGGGCAGACGCGCGTCTCCACTCCCCATTAACCCGGGAGGGAGGGGGGCCTCGGGAAATGTGTGCATTTATTCAGTAGCAGGAGTGCAAACCTCATACATTGAGGGAGAAAGGCAGCGGGAGACGGCCGCCGAGATTCCCCCATCTCTTTGAATATAATTTTAGATTGAGAGTCAGATTAAATCCGAGGGGAAAACACTTTATGAGGCTGAAAGCTGCGTCGTTGCCAGAGCCAGGGTTATGAGCTATCAAATGCAATTACATTAAGACAGATTATACTGGGCAAATTGAGCCATTTAGAAGGTGAGAATCAAAGAAACGGCTCTGATCCTCTCTTCCCCCTTCTCTCTCCCTCTCCTTCTCTCTCTCTAAATTGCAGTTCATAGTTCCTTGCAATTCTGAGGCACAAAAGTAGGTGAGACTGCTTTTGTATCTGCGAAGTGCTTCACTCCTGAATGTAATTCTAGCTGAGTGCAATCTAGGTTAAGAGCCGGGCAAGCGGGTAATTAGAGCCCGCTCGCTGCCCGAGGACCGGCCGCCCCGCCGAAGCGCGCCCGGAGCCGGCGCCCTTCTCCCGGCCGAGCCGAGCTGCGGCTGGACACGGAGCGCCCGAGATGATGGTGCTGGACAAGGAGGACGGTAGGTGGCGGGCGGGGGTCCCGACTCCCCGCACACCCGCGCCCCCCGCCGCGGCGCGCAGGAACACACACGCCAGGACGCCGGCGCGCACACACCGGGCTGTGCCGGGCTTGCCGGGCGGGCGGTCCGCAGGGCGCTGGGACTGGAGCCTGGGGCGGAGGGAGGACCGAGTGGGACTGGCGTGGGGAGATGAGGGAGCCCCGGGCTGCGCGGCCCCGGGGCCGGGACAGGCCGGACTGAACCTCGGGAGGGCGAGCTGTGCGCCGGCCGTGTGATGCTCTGCGGGGCCGCGTGGAGGATCCGGCTGCCCTCCTATCTCGGCGCAGGGGTGGTTCACGTAGAGCGTTTTCGTCTTTGCGGCTGCTCCTCTCACCGCAGCCATCAGCCTCGCGCCGCCCGCGTAACCCGAGAGGCGCTGAGCGCCGAACAAATCAGTGGCTTCGGGAAATCGGACTCCAGAGCTTGCGACGAGCGGGCGCGCGGAAAGACGGTGGCCGCTGGGTGCCCGGCAGGCGAGGGGAAAGGCCGGAGGGACCCTCGGGGAGACAGCTGCCCGAAAGCTCCGTGAGAAAAAGGGTTGCCTCCTGTGATTCCCACTGTCTCCCAGTGTGATTCTCACTGTGTCTTGAAATAGGAGGCAGGAGTTTGGCCCAGAGGAAGAAAGTGTCCCGCTCCTGGCCAGTAGCACGAGTGCAGGAGCGGCATGGACTTGCCCTGGTCAAGAGGCTCGCTGCGCCCGAGAGGTCAGAACAGAGGGACCCATGGTGGTCCCACACACCCCAAGGCCTTCCTGACGGGGAGTGCCCTGCAGTAATTGTCCTGGTATGTGCAGGAGAAGTTGGAGAACCCAGTCCCCTTGAGGGTAAAACCAGGGGTGCCCTGTGACCCAAGGGCAGCCCTCAGGGTCAAGAGTGGCCGTCCCAGGCCCTCCTGCCCTGTAGGTGAGGGTTACCTGGTTTGTTAAGTTTGTTAGTGTTGTCGGGAGGGAGATGTGAATGTAATTGTTCGCACCCACGCCATCACCTGGGTTCTACTGGTAAGGAACTGAGGTGGGTTTTCTGTGAGTCAGTGGAAATCCTCTTAGAGTGACATCTTCTGACCTCTGCTAGTGAGTAGTAGAGGTCTGTGCCCTTTTGCCCTCCAGGTCAGTGGTGTTACTGACATGGTCACTTGGTGAAAATCTGAAGTTAAGTGACTTAAGTTCACACAGGATGTTCACTTTGCTGCCACCATGTGCTGATGCCCCTAGCCTCCCCTCCCACCTTCTGAGACCTCCAGCAGGGAGGGACATTTAAAGTATCTGGCCTGGGGGTGGCATGTGTGGGAGCCCTGTGGCCCGCAAGGCCATTTCTCAGCGTGAGTGTGGAAAGAGAGGGAGGGGGAACTAAATGCTCTGGCCAAAAGAATCCATTGTCCAGGGTCTGGCTCGGGTGTGACATTCATCTCCTGTATGCTTTTCTCTCTTCATGGCCCCCCTCCCCTGGAGCCCCATGTGGGCCATCAGAGAGCTGGGCTGGTGCAGTTGTGTACAGATTGAAAAAGAAAAGAAGGGGTCTGGGGTCAGGCCAGATAAGGAGGGAGGAGACCTTGATTTAGCTCCTTTCTCCGCTACCTCCCTGTGTAATCTCGGACCAGTCATGCCCATCTCTTCACTCTCCCTCTTGGTAGAATGAGGAGCCAGGGCAGAGGGTCCTTCCTTGGTGTTTGGAGGAACTCCCACCGTGGGGAGCATGTGGAAATCAGGGTATGTCTTTAGCCGAGATTGTTTAGCATGCTTGGCTCCCCAGGCCCAAGCCAGAAACCCAGAAGACCCAGGCCCTACACATGGGCGGCCTCAGGCAGGGAGACTGGTCTCCCGCCAATAAGACGACGCCACCACCACCACCTCGGGTCTTGCACTCTGTGCAGGCACCCAGAGTGCCCTGGACTTTGTGATACTAAAGGTTTCCAGATGAGCCCTGAATGGGAATGGCTCTCTGGAGGTCATTTTAGCCCATCTCCTGCCTACACCCTGGGCATATGTATTTTCCCGGGTCTTCACCAGACCTGTGGGGGAGAGCTCACACTGCCCCACAGGTCCCCCACCCTGTCCAGTCTAAACCATATGGTGCTCTGTACTGTTGATGCCACTGAGTTCTGGGACACGTCACAGCACAAGGAAGAAGGCTGGCTTAGGTCCTGAGGAGCCATTTGATTCTTGTCCTGCTCAGCCTAGAGCTGTCTTCCAAAAGCAACCTTTCTGCTCATAAAATCCACCCTCCACTCCCCATTGGAGTCTAGCATCTCCTGGTTCCAGGAAACCTTGAAGGTGGTACCTTCAGTTGGGGGAGGGAGAAAGGCTCTGGATATACTCACCCTCCCCCCACACCTGCTGCCTAAATCCTTCCTTGCACTTATGCCCTCCCAGCAGGTGGCCGTCTGGGCTGGGAGTCAGCACTGGTCCCCAGGGCCCCCAAGGGGTGTGTTCCTCAGGGCTGCGGACTGCACCCTTTGTCTGGCTGCAGCGTGAACTCAGGCTCCTATTAACCACCCCCAATGCCTTTTCTCCACCTGACAGCATCTTGTCGGAAGAGGCCGGGGCTCCTCTGGTTGAAGTCAGGTCCGCCAGCTGCTGAGGACCAAAGCTCTTGCTCTGCTGGGCTGCAGGGCTTTCATGTTGCACTTCTGAAAGATAATAAAATATCAATCGCTTTGCCGTAGCAACGGGTTTAAGAGACTTTCTGAAGTATTGGATCGTCAGAAAAAAATTTTTTTTTTTTTTTTGCTTTTAAGCACAGTGCATTATTAATAAAGTAATCCATTAGGTCGAGCAGTGAAGGGCCACCACAGAGAGGAGAGATCTGTTTTGCAAACGGTTAAACTTCAGGTTTTAAGATTAATTGCTTTCATTTGGATGCTTGCTCTTGGCCTAGGCAGCTCCACTTTACTGGAACTCAGGGTCCTGCCTTTCTACATGCCATCGGGCCTGCCTGTCAGCAACGGAAGCCCAGCTCCAACTTTCGTGGAGAAACAGCCCTTCTTCCCCTGACACCTGCTCTTGGGCTGGCACCAGTCTGTGGGCTTTCTGGGGAGGTTTGCAGCCCCAGGGGAGCAAGGGGAGTTACAGCCCTGAGTCCTGAGAGTCAAATTAGCCCTCACGCTGTAGGAGAAAAGGCCCTTGAGCAGGGGCAGGCAGCAGAGGGTCTGAGCAGCCCCAAGAACTGTGAGAGCCTTGGGTTGTGAGGGACAGGGCAGGATGCCAAGGGCACCCCCAAGGGGTGTCCCCAGGTGTATGCTGCAGAAGGACAGGTCCGGGTGTAAAGCTGCCTCTGCAGAGGCCCAGCAGGAGGGCTGGGGTGACCACAGGAAGCAGCAGGCAGGCTGTGGAACTAAACATCAGACCTAATTCCTAGGGCACTTTTAATAAGTTAAAAAACACCTAAAGATATTGGAGCTGGGCTGAGGAGGACCAGACAGTGCACCTTCAGTTGTTAGTGACTACTGTGAGTGCAGCGTCCACAGCTGACTCAGTTGATCCATGCGGGCAGGCTCTCAGCTGTGCTTGGGTACTGACCAGCAGGACCTCCCAGAATATCCCGTCATGCTCTGGACCACAGAGGTTACTGGCGGCCTCTCCTGTGGCCACAGGACCTCCACAGCCCTGGGGGAAAGGCAGGGAGTGGGTCCTGATGCTGTTCCACACTACAGATCCCAGCCCATCAGCAGGACGGCAGAGCCCAGTGGACACTGCTGCCTGCTGAGGGCTGGTAAAGGCCTTGTGAGGCTGGCAGGGTAGGGACCAGGCCTGGCACCCACTGTATGCCTAGAAGAGGAAGGTCTCCATCTGCACCTACCAGGCCAGCCTGGACTGCAGCCACCTCCTCACTACAGGGAAGCAAGGCATCACAAAACCTGAGCAGCACGTACAGCCGTGTCCCCTTCCTGCCTAAACTCAGCCAGGCAGGGAGCCTGTAGAGATGGGTCTCCCCAGCCCGCTCCCAGAGCCTGGGGTAAAAAAGCAGGTGCTTCTGTCTGTTCCCTGCTCTTCCATTCATCTGCCCACGCGGAGCACTAAGGTTGGGGGGCGGACAGGGAAACAACATAAATTGGTCTGTCGTCCAGAATCCGTGTCTCGCTAATGTACCCAGATTAACTCAACTGTAAATTGTCTCCTCGGATGGCAGTGTCTTGCTAAAAGTTTCCCATATGATTCATGATTTGGATTGCTTTTAACGGCTATTGGCTAAGCAAGCCAGTGACTGTACAAGGTGATGCAATTGGCATTAGCAAGGGGAGGCACGGGAGCGTGTAATGCAGTCAATACTGCATTAACTACTGATGCCCAATTACAGGGAGTGGGAGAGAGCCTTTTGGGAGCATTAGGACTGGGGGAAGCTGAGATCACTGGCCGCTGCTCGCCTAAAAGCTTCACCCTTTGCATGCCGGGGCTCAGTGCTGGCCTGGCCACTCACTTGGCCTCTGTGGCCATAGGAACTGTCTCTCTCTCTCTCTCTCTCTCTCTCTCTCTCTCTCTCTCTCTCTCTCTCTCTCTCTCTCTCTCTCTCTCTCGTCCCACAATGATGCTTTTAGCACATGGAAATGTTCATTTTCCTAGAGTCGGGGCCTGCCTCTCATCCCTCCCGAGAATTGATTTCCTACCCAACTCCAGGTCCCAGAGTCAGATGGGGCGGCTGCCCCACCCACTTCCATTTAAGGAACCACTCAGCAGGCCCTATCTGAGAGTAGGACCAAGGGGAGGTCTATTTTGGTCTCTCCCCCTTGGAACAGATGGCTGATTGCCAGCAAGCATTGGCGGCCGACCTTCTGTGGCCGAAGGAGACACGAGCTTTAGCCTCAGTGCAGCTGCGCTGCTAGGGCAAGCAAGGCTGCTGGACCTGGGAAGTAATCCTGGCTGGGCCTTCTGAGCAAAAGACAGAGATGGAGAGGCTGATGGGGGAGTAACCCAAGCCAGGCTGGGGTTGTCAGCAGAGGCAGGCCCCCTCCAGAGCTGCATCGACACA